AAAAAAAAAAAAAAAAAAAAAAAAAAAAAAAAATTATTTCTGCTTAGACCATACTCACAAAAATGAAAAAGACATAAAAGTCCGTTAAGTTAATGGCTAAATATGACATCTCTAAAGCAATGGAACATTAAGAAACAAGTTACTGATACATGCAATGAGATAAATCAGAAAAAATTTTGCCAAACAGAAGCCAGGCACAAGAGTTCATAATGATTTCATTTATACCAAATTCCAAAAAGGTAAATATAATCAATCCATAGTGCCCCTAAAAAAGTGGTTACTGAAGGTTACAGTAGAATGAAAGGACTGATTACAAAGAGCACAAGAGAAATTTCTAGAATGGTAATTTTATCTTGAGTAGATGATGGATGTACAAATGTATACATATATAAAAACTCACCAAGTTGTGCACTTAAAAGGAATTTTACTATGTGTGAACTATAATTCAACAAATTATATCAAAAAGATTACAGAACTGCACTGTCCAATAAAGCAGACACATGCTACTGGAATTTAATCAAAATTAAAACATTTAGGTTCTCACATTCGAGACGACATGTGGTAGTGACTATCATCCTGGATAGCAATATCATGTATTATTTGAACTAGACCACCAGTAAGTGTGACAGCTATACAATGATATACTGGCAGCATTACGTACTGATACATCTACAGTGTTGAAATTTTGCAACCAAAGAGACACTGTTACAAATTTCCAGTGAAATTTTACCAACATTAACTATTAACAAACATTCAAGGAAAATCTCAAATCCCCCAATTCTTTTTGATCCATACCAAAAAAAAAAAAAAAAAAAGATACCTTTCTTTCAAAACAGCCTCAAAGCTAATCAAACAACTTGTAAATTTAAGTTGTAATTACAAAAATTACTCAGAAATTAAAGATATAAAAAACAAGGGAAATGTTTCTAGTGATACTTTTAGGTCAGTCACACAGACCCTTTCCTGGGAAATGCCTCTCTACCATTATTCTCCTATGATGTCACCTTGTTTATATATGACCCTGCTCTCCTCAGCTGACAAATCATATTCCTGTAGTGGACTACTATATTTTCCTGAAAATAAGACGAAGTCTATTAATTTTTATTCCAAAAGACCCAACAGGGCTTATTTTCATGGGATGGCTTACATTTTCATGTGCAAAAACTTACATTTATTGAAATACAGTCACATCATCTCCTTCTGGAACACTGTCAATACTCTCCAAGCTACAAATTCTGCCCTGAGTTTGTGACTCCATTTTTTTGTAGAACCACTGGCCCCAATCTCTCGTTTAGCAATAAAGCTCTCTGTAAGTGGGTTCTTGTCCATCCATACATTACAGCATGCTCATAGTGCATTGGCAATACAGCTGTTAAGTGATTTTATCCCATGATTTCTTCACCCAAGTCCTTACTAAACCCAACCTCCTACAGGCTAGGCTTCAACAAGTTTCCATGCTGGTTTCTCCATTCTATCTTCAGGGTAGTCATTGATTTTCATGTGTAAATGGTCCTTGAATGGCTTGTTTACTGCAGTACCCAAAGTCTGGAGATAACCTGTCATTCCTGAGAATCATCTGCTCTATTTTCTCAGGAAGTTGTTCATATCTTTAGCACTTTGAGGGCTAGCTGAATCCCAGAATAGCAGACCTCTTTACTTCACAAAAGAAGCAGCAGCATTAAATCAACCCACTTCCTTGTAACTGCCTGTGTGCACCAGGCCTTTTTGGTTTCAAGAACATAAATGTCAAACACATTCAATTTTGTCTTCCTTGCCCTTAGTGATTAGAGGTGGGGCTTTCTTTCATTCAGATGAACTGCCAAAATACAGGTAATACTTGCATTTTTGTAACTAGAGGAGGGAATGTACACTGGTGAGGCACTGTGCCCCTGATCAATTGTAGTTTGAGATCCTTGGCCCATAAACACTGCAGTTTTATCCACAGCTATCATGTTGGAGAGTTGGTATTTAGAAAGTCAATGCCATCAACAAAGGAAATGAATGCAATTACACATTTATTAATTCAGTGCCTTCCAGCTTGAACAGTGTTGTTCATCTTCTTACATAGAGATGATCATTTTGCAGAAGTAAGCAAATCAGCCAATGTTGTGATGCTTTGAATTCTGGGGATATTTCAAAATGCAATACCACTGCCAGGACAAACCCTTGAATATAATCCCTGTGCACAACCAAAGCCTTTGCTCTCCTGTCGGCAACTGAACCACAGATGATGTCTTTCAGCTCAATAAGTAACAGTTGGTGACCTGATCCACACCTGAGCTTCTCAGCATTTCCCTGGTCCACTTGCTGACCAAGCTCATCATACTCTGCCAGCCATTTTTAGACCATTTAGAGATCCAATAACTTCTTTTTGCAGAAAGCGTTACGAGTCTTGCTCTGAGAGTCCTCCAAAATTCCTTTCTTATACTCAAAGGGGGCTCTTTCTTTTTGTACTCATCTTGTCTGGGGGTCAAAATATTACTCCCTTGAATCTATCATTAAATCAAGTGTGAATTGGAGACTTACACCATAGATGTAGCAACAAAAATGACAAGAATGATGGTCCAGCCGGGGATTTAGCTCAGTGGTCCTGCTGCTTGCTATGCAAGCGCAAGGTCCCAGGTTACAAAAAACAAAAAAGAATGGTGGTCCACACAAAAGCAATGAAAAACTGCAAGCACCAAAATTCAGAAAGTGTTCTTTATTTCACATGAGTGAAATGGGTACACCCTTTACAACACACAGCATACTGAATACGGAGACTGAGACACAACCACGTCCATGTGTGCATGCTGTGTGTTGTATCTGTACTCTGATTGGTCATTTGTCAGTTAAGTCTCAAGTTCATCTGTACATACGCATTTACCTCTAGTCCAAAGGTGCCTGCTTGGGTATTTACAAATAATTGTAATTCGCATCAATATTTATATTAATTACATGTTAATATTTTATAATTTAATACGTCTGCATGTGTTACAATAAATGTACTAAATGTGTCCATCTGGCTGAAATCTGGGGCTTATGAGCATCCCGAAAGAATCATACTAGGGCTTATTTTTTGGTTTAGGTCTTATTTTGGGGGGAAATATAGCACTACTAGGACAGAGTCCTAGCTCAGATTAAGCCATGGAGTCCTTTCTCTTGGGTTTTATGTGAGTGATCTGTCTCAAGTTCATAAGCACAGTAATGTAAAATGTGGCACCTGTTGGGGTCATGTTTTCCTATCATGTGGAAAAGGCATATTCCACAGAACATGTGAACTTCACGGAAAGTGAAATTCAGAAGCCTCTGAATAGATGAGACAGAACCATGACTGCAGTCCAGTTCTGATGCCAGCTTTTCCTGAGCCTAACACTTAATAAATCAACAACCATGCCTGATTAAACTAACTCAAGTTCCCTTCAAGTGAAGACAAGAGTCCGGATATAACTAAAGATATGTAGCCACTGCTAATAGTCACAGAAAATTTCACAGCCTGAAAGAAAAATGGCTGACATTTGAGTGTTTATTATATGCAGGTACTATTTTAAGTTCCCAACATACACTATTCTTATAAGAATTCTTTAAGTATTAATATCCCCATATTGTACCTGAGGAAACATAACTTTCCATATGTAACAGTAAGAAATGAAACAGATTCGGGCAGTCTGGCTGTTCAGTGGTTTAACTATGCCTCCTGTGTATATTTCTTATGAAAGAAGACAAAGTGAAATAAAGGAATTGAACTTGAATTAAATTTTATGTATAAGATGTCACCTAAGAAAATTATAAATGATTAAAATATGAAAAGATTCTCAAACTCAGTTTTACTCTGAGAAATGGAACCTGAAATTAGTTTTCACGTATCAGACTGAAAAGACTGCTAATATCCAGTACAAAAAGGACAGAAAGAATGCAGAAAAAAAAATCACCGCATTCCTAGCAATATAAGGAACACCATTTAACTATTAAACTACAAAAATAAATAAAGTTATAAAATTCACTCATCACAAGGTTGTGGGAAAACAGGTATACTTAAATATATTGCTGGTAGTCATTTAAACTGGTTTATTTTCTTGAAAAAATCTAATAACAAAATATATTAGTATTCTTTTTCATATTCATAAAATATTGACTGAGTCATTGTGCTTTGGGGCATTTATCCCATGCAAACTCCAAAGTAATAACAACAGAAACATGTACCAAGGTATCAACACAATGGAATTTGCAACATAGAGATTTGCCAATATATACACTCAAAACACAATGTAGCTCAGAGTAACAAAACTATTACAAATGAAATATATGTAGATTAAATCTACATTCAGAAATGTACATAATGTTAGGACAAAGTAAAAAAAAAGCACAATAAAATTGTGTATGTAGACAGTGGTTAGAAATTAATGTGGAGTGTCACAACTTCATAATCTTTAAATTCTTATTTCTATATAGTGGTTTACATTCATGAAAAACATGAGAGAGCTCCACAGACTACCATAAAAAATGGTACTTTACATTCTAAACACACATTTCACAAGTTTCAGTAAAACTTTAAAATTTAACCCTTTTGTCTCAACTCTAAATCTATTCAATTTCATTTATTATGAAGTATATAATGTTCATTCCATCCAAGTCTAATGAGTTATTGAAAATAACCAAAGGCAAAGTAATACAGGAAGTCTGAAAATTCCCTAAGCAAACTTCTGTGAACTCTCTACACTACTTACTCATTTACCACATCACACACCCCACAATTTAGGAGCCATCACACATACCTGATGCAATGACAGGATCCTTCATAAGTTCTCTAGTTATTGGACATATAAACTCATCAGGAATTTCAGAAGAAAGGGATTTCACTTTGGTCCTGAGCTCTTCAATTTTTCTAAGCACTTTACTACGCAGCCCTAGAGATTCTGAAAAGAAATTGTTCTGTTAGGTCTGGAGAACTAGTAATCTTTATGTAACTGTTCAGCAAATAAAGGAGATTTTATCTACTAAAACCAAAACCTCCTGATACATCTTACTAGGTAGAAATGTTTTCCTAATAGATTTCTTTATGGATCTTTGCAATAAATATAGAACACTTTGGTTAAAGTATGCCAGCAGCTAGTAGATAGCTTATTTTAAACAACCTTAGATTGTGAAATTTAAGAATTTCAGACTGCCAGAAACTAAAATACTCCACAAAGTCAGGAAAGACTCATTATTATTGGCTAATTTATTTATACAAAATGGGCTATGGAGATACCTCTGGTAGAACACATGTTTAACATATGCAAGGTCATGTGTTTGATCCCCAGAACCACAAAACATTTTAAAAATTTTGCTTACATAAAAATTCCTAAAAATCAGTTTTTAACAGTATACAAATCCACATTACATATTCAAACAAAGAAACAATATACTGCTGATTACATGGAACACAATCACAAAGTTTATCTGTCCAAAATTGTATGCATAAGTTGTTTAATTTTAAAAAATTACCTTCATTTTTAACTTCAGGAAGTCTAGTGTTAACTAATTTTAGGAAGATTAATGTTATTGACTTTATATTTTTAGAACTAGTTCACAGTTCCACTTTAGCTTGGATGTTATGGGGTGGAGTGAGTAGAAGAATTATATTTCAAAATGCTTCATAGTAACTATCAAAAGCTAAACCAGCTTTCTTTGTTGAGAAGTAATTCCCAATGGATTTATACATGTTATGACATCTTTGTCTTGTATAATCTTTTCAAGGATATTTGCAAATGTCCTTGAAAGATGGAGATACTGTCATCCTTTCCAGGCAGAAAGTAGGTTTGTTTCCTAACCAGTACAAAGACAGTGTTTTCCTCTTGGGCTAGTTATTTACAGTCCCACTATAAAATTGGGGTTTCACTTAGCACAGTGGCACAAGCATGAAATCCCAGCTACTTGGAAGCCTGAGGCAAGACAATCAAGTTCAAGGCCCATCTAGGCAAATTTAGTCTCAAAACAAAAAATAAAAATAAAAAAGACTTTGGATGTTGCTCAGTGGAACATACTTGCTGCCCGCTATGTGACCAAGTTCAATCTCCAGTATTGGGAAAAAAAAAAAAAAAAAAAAAAAAAA